CGAACATATTGTTGTAACCATTTAACACTATCCTTATAGATAACACGGTAAGACACCATGTCTGAGCACTTTCAGAGGTTTATCAAGTACATTGTGAATGCGGAGAAACGAACATTTTTACGTTTGCGTATAATAATAATCATTGTGTTCATGTTTATTTGTTGTGGTCAAATTTTTTGTAAAGTCACATAAATCGTAAAATTGGTTGTTTTTTATGCTAAACACAGAAGCTCCCGGACACTCTAAACCATCAATATAGCCACTTTTTACCTGTCGAGTGCACCCTTACCACCAGGGAGGGTCGAAGGTATAACGTGACAATGATAGGTAATCTTTGTCGGGTGGTTTTTTATGAAGGATGGCTAGACTTTGTGCGTGCAGAGGACATTATGACCGACAATTGTCTGTGGTTCGACCGAACCTCGTTAACCGATTTCGTCGTCACAATCCACACCGATAATCAGGTTGAACGGGAGCTTCAACACCGTTTTACGCTGCAGATAACAAAAATCCATGTGGAACGTGCTCGTTTGGTAATTGTATTATAATATCGATTAAGTTTATGTTTTTTTTTTTTGTATTATTTTGAAGCGCCTACATAATTAGTTACAAGTATCCGATATTGCAGCCTATTCCACTGAGTTTTTGGCGATCTTATGTTCAAAACGTGCCTACCGACAAGAGTAGAGTAATTTTGGATTGTGAAGATAGCACATATGAATTACAAATTGTTGAAGGGCATGGTAAAGTGTTGATGCAGAATTGGGATGCTCGGGAGTTTGTTGATGACACTGAAATGGCCGAAGGTTCTATATGATGCTTCACATTGATTTCTTATGTTTGTGTTCGTTTTGAGGTTGATTTGATGTAATTTGAGTTTGGAGGTTAGGTTGGTATACCTCATTTTGTGTTGAGTGAGTATTTTGTGGTGTACCAATCCTGTGTAATGGTGTCTATTGACTTGTTTTACTCGGACTTATGCAATTTATGATTAATTCATGTTAATATTCATCTGCATCAGTACAATTGTGTAGTACAATTGTATAAGTAGGCTTCTATTTTGTTTTTTATTTTTATTTATTTTTTTTTTTTGTTTTTGTTTTTCTGGCAATAGAAGGTATGTTTATAATTGATATGGAAATAACAAGAATTATTATACAAACACATGGCACCAAATAATTAATACGATGCATGTAATAGCAAATAATTCTAGTCACAATCATGCTTCAATGAATTAACACAAAAGCAGAAGTGGACAAAAATAAGAATAAAAAATAGTCATTTTGAAATGCAAATTACCAACAACTACTATCAACTTTCTGAAATGAAGTTAAACCTAGAGAACTGTCTTGCTTCCCCCTGCAATTTCCTTTTTCATCTAAGTTGATCACGGGTGCAAACCGATAAGCGTATACCGATACCGTACCGATAATATCGGTAACCTCGGAATGCAAACCGATACCGAACCGATTAAATTCGGTTACCAAAAATTCGGTAACCGAAAACTCGGTTCGCTATCGGTTTTATACCGAAAAAACCGAACCGATTTTGAACCAGAAAAAGGTAATGTTTCATTTTTGTAATTTTTTTTCACTTCTTACCAAATAAAATACACACAAAAGACTCATCACAAATCCATTGAAGAATTAAAAAGTTTAATTAAATTTAATATATAAAAGTTAGTTTAAATATAATTAGATTATGTTTTTTGTGGTAAACGCAACTAATAAAATATATATTGCTATCATGCAAGAAATAAAATTTGTGATACATCTTCAACTAACTTATCTAGTAACGGTGGTACGAGAATGATGCGATTTGGTGGTATTTTTCTCGTCATTTTGAGATTTAGGTACGGTTGAACCCTTATTTCAATTTTTGAACACTAAACAAATAATCCACATTTTAATATTTTACAAGAAAAAATATTTGTTTTAATTTTTTTTACCCTTATCGGTTCGGTATCGATTTTACCGAACTCTTATGGGTTCAAACCGATACTATACCGATAGTGATTCGGTAACGAATAGTCGGTTACCGTTACAAGTGGTTCGGTTCATTTTTCTCGTCGGTTCGATTTGGTTCGATTCGGTAGTAGGTTTATTTTTCTCGTCGGTTCGATTTGGTTCGGTTCCGTCGGGCCTCGAAATGCGACTCGAGCTTTAGCGAAAAGTGCTTTCGAGAAAGCACCAGAGGAGGAGAAGCCGTTTATGGCATCGATTTTTATTTTGAGGTCCCGATCATTTATTTTGAGAAGCTCGAGTTCAATGGTGCATATTAATAAAAGATGTTGCGTGCTATTGTTAGGTGGTAGAGATTAAAATAATGTACAACGGTTGAAAAAAAAGCTTCTTCTGATGCGTCTTTAATATTAAGTGGCGCGAAGAATGGCAGTGCATGTGGTGTGGCAGCCTTTTTTTTACTGTGGTGTTGTGATAACGTTCACAATCTTTTTTTATTATTTGTTCTTGGACTGACCCATGCTACGTACAACATGAATGAGACCAGCCTTTTCTTCTTTGTGCAGAAGGAATGAGCAAAAGTATATAGGTGTAGCAGTTTTTCCAATTATCATTCAAGTTGTGGGACCAAGTGCACATAGAAATGATGCGTGTTCGGTAAAAAAAAAAAGGTGTCTAAAAAGTAGAGAAGGTGTAGAGTGTTTTTTGGCGGGACCTAATAGGAGAAAAATAGTGCAAAATGGAGGGAAAAACAAAAAGTCGGTTCTATAAAAAGGGTGTGTTCGAGAAATGCAAAATGAACATAAATTCATAAAATGGTCTCTCACCCACCCTTCTGTTCATGCGGACGTGGTCGGATGTATCATTTTATGGCTAAAACAGATAAAAATTATGGTAGGTATTTCTTTCGATGCCCAGAAGGAATAAAACAACCAGGGAGCTTTAAGTGGGATGACGAGAATAATTGCTCTTTTTCTGCGAGGGAAACTGCTCAAACATATTGTAATCCGCAGTCCAATTCACAAACTAGCCGTCATACCACTAGTGGGTCCAACTACTCAAGCACTTCACATGTGCCGACGAACAGCGTGAATGACACACCGTCCCTCGTTGAAGCTGCATGCCCATTTTGTGTTTAAGGTTATTTGGTGGTCATTGGGTTTTTAATTATTGCTTATTAAATTCATAATGATGTAATGGATTTCTAATTTTAATTACATATAAAATTTTTATCTACCAAGTATGTCTTTTTATTACACACAAATTTTTTATTCCATGTTCAACCAACGAATTAATTCATAATACATTAATGCGATAATTGACGTACACAAATACATATGTACATTTTTTTGTACAAAATAATATGTATTAATGAAAAAGCCGATAATAAGTATTAGTTTCATATAATCAATGTAATTAGTGGGACGAGAAGCGAACAAATTGTTACCATATAACCAATATTATTTAACACATATAAATGATCAAATTATACAAAGACATAAATTCATAGTTGCTGATTATAAATAATATTTGATTTGCTATTTGGCATATAAAATCATATCTCATGCGTTTGATTCGATATTTGGTATATAAAATTCCCAGTATGAAATAATTATATACATATTAAATACAAATAATAGAATCTACACAAGTTATATATATACAAGTGAGACAATTCATAGTAATACGACAAGTGACGAAAAGAAAAAAAAAAATATTATCACAACAAAATATCCTTCCATGTGACCAGATGCATGGGTAATGGCAGTTGGCAGATTGATTCACCACTATGTGAAGGAATGAGTTGTCACATTATTTGCAGGCTCCTATCATCCGCCCATCATCTTTTTGTACGTGAATGCAGATGATATTGGGGTCTGCAACGGTTGAATCCATACTTCTTTGTACGTATACATGACCGGTATACATTATTATACTTTTTTTCCAAATCCATTATCACATAATATTTGCATGGGTTTCCCTTTATTTGTCAAAATATCATCACACCAAAACCTCCATAACAATTATTTCTTATTTACAATCATGTGGGGATTATCATTGCCAGATACAAAGGAAGAGAATTTCCGCTATATACGAGAAGGCTTCTCAAACAAATGACTTCAACCTGCTGAGGAATCATTTTGTTCTATCCTTCTGCATTACATCCAGTCAGAAGGGTTAAACATGGAGTTTGACGTATATATGGCATTTGATAGAATTTATCGAAGTTGTTTGGGTGAAATCTCTCAAGATTTGACATTGAAAGAATGCTATACCACATTCATGGTATTGAAAGAAAGGTATCGAACTTTTAAATATTTTATGAAACACCCACTGGGTGTTTTCGACATACATGCAAAGACCATTTATCTTGACGAGGACGACCGTGAGGAAGCATTTGAGGTATGCCAAAAGTGTACAACAATTCCTTTTTATTTATTTCGCCTAGTTTTATTTTTTCCAAAATCTTTTATTATTAGACTGTGTAAATCTATTAAATCATATTCTCTCAGATTTGGCCATTAGCCGAACATTATTGCAGCAGCAATCCGGAGCCTCTCTGGGAAACGTTGAAAATAATTTTCGAATCCCTACAACATGACTCATATCCTGGTGAAATAGAATCAATACATGAACGTAACACTCACAAATTGAACCAAGTTGTTAACGAGTACTGGGCCGAAGAACGTCGTATGGCAGCGCAAAGAAAAAGGAGAGGAAATTGATTGTCGTCGCGTACTTATAATTCTGTGTCAATTGTTGCGTTATATTTCGAACTATTAAAATAAAAATTGTGTCAATTGTCACGGGATGTGTGTCGTCGCTTCTCAACAGTCTATTTTGTGTCGTCTGTTCTCATCACAGGATGTGTGTCGTCTTTTCTCATCTATTTTGTGTAACGATTTTTTATTTGGGCAAAACAATAATATTCATGTAAACCAGCCAAATACTAATTAGGAAACAACATTACGGACCATACTTGTCGTACAAATACAACATTAATAAATAAAACATATTGTTACATGAGTAATAAACCAACTAACGATGTCTGCCACCGTGATCACGCCACAACGCATCAGCAATCGAATCGTGCAAACCAGACTGTTTACGTAAACCAACATTAGAGGTATCTGACGTTGTCCTCAAAGGCCTTGTAAAATCGTCTTCATCTGGTTCTGGTATGTAGTCCGGGTCTTGCATGGCAGGCGGTATGTTAGCAAACTTTTGGTGTTCAAGGATGAAATTATGTGCAACACAACATGCGATTACTATGTCTGTCTGGAACTCAGGCGGGTAGTTGGGCATTAGGCCTTTTATAATGGGGAACTTACCCTTTAGTATACCAAAGCTACGTTCGACCACATTCCGGACCGTCGCATGGCGTCGGTTAAATAGCTCTCTCGCATTTTGAGGGTTTGTTTTGACCGAATCCACTCCGGGAGATGATACCTATCGCCCACGATAAGGTGACAAGAATCCCAGGATATTGGCATAGCCTGAGTCCACCACATAATATTTTCCTATCATTCAAAACAAGTTGTGTTAGTATAACCTCAACTTAATATATTTGCGTATATATCAGTTGCCGAAAAAATAAAGTATGTCATGCGAGATGTTCGAAGAAAGGGAAGAAAACAAGACATACCTTCTGGTGGCTAGGGGAATGTATTTATGGGGTCAGTCAACGTTTCAGCAAAAATACGAGCATCATTCGCGCTGCTTTCCCATCCCGCTAAAACGAAAGTAAAATTGCATTCAAAGTCGCACGCGACCATAACGTTCTGGGACAAGTAACCTTTGCGACATCTGTATTTTTCATGATCTTCTTCAGGTATCCAAGCTGGTATGATGGTTCCGTCGATGGCGCCGATGCAATCCTGAGTTAACAATAAAAAATTTAGTTGTAAATGAAAAGGTTTTAATATAAAATATACACAATTTTTTTATGCGTTTCACCTTAAAGTATGGATATAAATATCTATTCTTTCGTATCCAATCAGGAACACGATTAAAATCTGATGGACGTATGTACTTGGGAGCCAATTTGCATAGGGCAGTGACCATGATATGTACATGATTACTAATCGTCTCGGTAGATCGATTAAATGACTCGGCAGCACGTCGATGCCTTTGGTGACCTTTTATCGTATGCAAGAACAACACAACACTTTCTTGAATGCAGACCTTTTGTTGTCTTTCATCGCCATGGCAACCCGTCTGTTTTATTTCTTTGTAAAGCAATTTAAATACTTTCTTGTTCATACCCATTGCATCGTAGAATCTTAGATCGTGGCCCGATAGGAGTTCGTTAATCCAGTCCGCTCCGGTGTACGTCGTTTGCCGATACATGATCCTTCTCATAGGCGTATTAGAATGAAACGCTGCGTACGCATGCATAAGTTGATGTCGTTGAAACTCAAGCATATTAGTAAATTGTTGTAAACGGGATAAATGAGACGGCTCAGCAACATCGTTAACATCTTCGACCATGTTGTCGTTCAATTGTTCACTGTCCCCATGTTCGACATCGTCGTAATCCTGGTTGTCATCCATGTGCGACATCCTACAATGGAGAATTTGTGGGACCACTTTTTGAAAACAACAATTACTTGTAAATGAAAAAGAACAATTAGTTATAAAGAAAAACAAGACAACATCAAATACCAAATTCAAATAACACATAAGTCAAATAATATGATGAAGAAAAACAGTTAAAGTCACACAAATGCATAGGAAAAAAAAAAACCAAATTTAGTTCTCATAATTTCAAAGTAGCAGGCAAGCCATAGTTCAAGTGAAAGCCCTATTTGGCATCATCATCCATCCACATTTGTAGAAGTGCAAGTCGGTTTTCTTCGAGTTCCAGTCCAAGGAACATGTACAGGCTCCAAGGGTCACGAAACCTCTTCCAAGCTAACTTTCGAACCTCCATGGGGACATTAGGCAAGGACTCCAGTGCCTTCAAAGCTTGTTGAAGGCTCTCTTGATCCTTTTCTGGATTCGGACGCGCATTATGCTGGATTATGCGACTTGCTTCAGTAATAGAATTCATGGTTGTGTCAAAGGTGGAACTGGTCCCTCTACGGCGACGAATGGTCCGATCACTGTCCGGGGTATTCATTTGCTCATCATTCAACTCATCAGGAAACAAATAATTCGAACAGGTCGCCAAGTTTGTTCTCCGACGCCTGCCATTTCCCTCGGGTGTTTGTGTAGATGCCCTTGCACCGCGCCCAGTTGCAGTTGTCCCATTGAAAATTATGGTCAGCTCACGGTAGTGCACGCACAACCTTTTCTTCATGTCGTTGTCCTGTGGATGACCCTATTGTTCGAAAAGAGTGGACACATAATAAGCGGATGTTTATTACAGGGAAATCCAAACCAAATATACTAAAACAACACCTACAATAAATAAGACCAATAAATTGATACTAATAATAGACACATAATAATAAAAGTATATTCATAAAACAACCAAGTTGCAGTCATGTAAAAGCTTGATAACATAGTTAAAACCAAAGGGTTTTGATTGTAATTAAACAAACAGGGGGATACATACTAAGACCAATTTTTGTGTATGAACACCCATTTTTTAAGTGCAACCCATCATAATGTACGCATACTAAGACCATAAAAAGCTGGGAAAAAATAGAAATAGTGCACTAACCGTGATCCACTGGGCCCAAACTTCGTCACCGCCTGTAATCTTCCCACTGTTAATATCCCAACCGAATCCCTTATCTTTGTTAAGCAGTTTGAAAAACCGACGCCACTACTGCTTCAATCGATCATGCTTACTCGTGATTTGTGTTATCTCGTAGTAATAGTCTGGACCACAAATATCGTTCAGTTTTTTTTGGATCTCCATCCAATTGGCTTGTTTGAACTTCTGCCCGATGCACTTTCCTAGGATAACTTGGTCCAACATCAACGATATGAAGTGAGCCTCATTCTCTGGAGGCCACTTTGCTTCTCCTTGTTTGTGTTGAGAAGGGCCAGCTTCAGTGGATGTGGACATCTACAATTTTTCACGAAATACATCTCCAAGATTGTATTGTTAACATGGAAACATACAGTTTGACATGACAACAACCCAAAAATAAATCGAAAAAATAGGTCAACATACAAAAAAAAAAAAAAAAAAAAAAAAAAAAATCAACAAAACACCACCACAAGAATTGAAATGAGGCATATCAACCCAAACAAAGCAAGTTCAACGACACAGTACAACCGGAATAATAATCGCATTCCGATCTCAGTCAAAACTCAACTTCATGAACACAACACAACCAGGCACAATTCAACCCAAAAGAAAATAGAAAAAAATAATCAGATCCACTTAAAATAATAGAACATATCATAAGAGATGGGATGCAAAACACAAAATATCGGTTCCCAAATTGTAAAATATGGAATCCCTAATTTATAATTATCGGTTCCCAAAATAAACAAAATCGCATATACAAAATATTTTTTTCGACAAATTAAAGGAAAAATTCATCGAATCGTATTTCAGGAAAAAAGGGTGCAGGAAAAATACATTTAAATCGAACAAACCTTTCTTCTCCGTTTTTTACTTTTCTCGGGCGAGTTAACCGACACGCTGCCGGTGCTTTCGCTGTGCGGATCCCGTCTCTCCAGCGAAGCTTCCGGCAAACGAAAAGGTGGAAGCGAAGTGGGCACAGAAGGATTTGCACTGGAGCTCATGTTTTTTTCAGACGGAGATGAAGGAGATTTATTGGTGGAAGGGGTCGTCATTTAATTCAAGGAGGAGAAGGTAGTAGGTTGCTTTTGTCAGACATACATATCAATATCAATTTAATATTACAGTTGAAAACAATTAATGGGGGACAAGCCAGCGTTGGAGTGGGTCCGTGTTTCAGAATGCCAAATTGAAATATTTTGTAGACAATCGCTTAATAATCCAAAATGTTCAATTATCTTAGTTTTTACCAATTAATTGGTAAACAAGCGTCCCCTTAGATTTTTGGGTATTGTATCATAATGGTATCTAATTTTCAACTTCCTACTTTGAAGGTTTCAATTTTAAGTTATTCTCAATTGTAAATCTACTTTTACGTTCTTGTTATCAATTTATGATTCCAACATATTATAATCTATACTTATATAATAAGATAACCTATTTACCCAATTTAGTAGGTTGAATAGTCAACGTAATTAATGCATTGCTATTTCTATCCAGAATTTTATTTAATTATTTTATTTAATTGTCTTATATCCCATAAAATCAATTTAAGAAAAAAAGAATCTCATAACATCTGATAAGTAAAAAAAAAGACGTAAAATATTTACTAAATAAGAAAGGCTTTATTTATTCGTCATAATATTAACATCTATTTTGTCAAAACAAATCCCATAAAACCGGTGAAGTCAAAATTTGTATGTAAAGTCTATCTATACTGAAAAAAAGGCATTCAAAATTCCTTATCTAATTCCTTCTTTTTCTTATCTAATTCCTTCTTATTATCTAATTGTATAGAAATCTGTTCTGATTTTGTTCAATCCTCTAATTGTATTTGTATTATATCCCATAAAATCGGTTTAACAAAAATAAAAAAAAAAACCTATAACATCCGATAAGTAAAAAAAAGTACGTAAAATCTTTACTAAAATAAAAAATATGTTGTTTATTATCTAATTTATTATCTAATTGTATGGAAATCTGTTCTGATTTTGTTCAAACCGATTTCTGTATATTCAGATTAAGATTTTCTAATAAAAATATTAACAAGAATATATATCTACTCTACCCATTATAAGTTACAAATATCAAAATATCGAGTCATCATCTTCCTCACTGTCAACCTCCTGCGAACAAAAAATATCCCCAATCAGTCGTGTATTCAAAACAATGAATCAAGGATTTGGGTTAACCAAACAAGTCAATAGGTCTAATAGACCTATGCTCAAAGTTCGAATTATGAGAATGTTTTTTCAAGACTGGGGCAGAACATATGAATCATATCTCGAGTTGGTTTTGCTTGATAAAACTGTAAGTCACATTATTTGAATTTTTGTTTTAATTTCGAAATTGGAAACGTATATTTTAATTTTTTTAATTTTCGTTTATGTATTTAGATATTTTTTTACATGTTAGTGAAATATATTTTTGATTTTTTTTAATTATATTTTCAGATTTGCAATGTGGCTTATTTATTCTACATATCGTGTATGTATTTTAGATATTTACATTATTTATATTTATTTTCGTGTAATGTAAAATTTTTATTGAATATTGCATATTATAGTATAATAATCCCCAAACAAATATATCCTGTGCCTCGCACAGCCACCTACTATATATATCCCGTACATTTTTCTTTATTCATTTATATAATTATAAGGTTGGATAAATGTCCTTAAAATTGTGCACCCCGTGCATCGCACGGGCTCTGTACTAGTATTACTAATTATGTCAACTAAAATACTATTATTTTAATGTTTATATTTTGAATACTTATAATAAAATATATTAAATAACTTAACAAAATTACCTTATATGAAATTCAATGCATATATTTAACATTTACGTAAAAGTTTAGTGAAATTTATTTTGCGAGTTAAAAATTATTGAAAACTAAAGTTTAAGAATATTTAATTTAAATATTATTATTCTTGATAACATAAGTATGTAATAACGTTAAAAAATAATATATTCAGAAAATAATTTTATTTTTTGTAATAAAATTATTGAAAATATTATTCGTGAATATAATTTCAATTGTTAGAAAACACAATAATATATCAAATTAATATACATAATAATAATCATTAGATATCATAGTAAAATCATCACTTCAAGAAAATTAATTCATATAAGTTACATTCATGCAAAATTGTAGTATAATTAACTATAAAAGTTAAATAAATTGAAAATTGAATTTTATGAATAATAATATAAATATTATATTCATTGATATTTAAATACATAATAAAATTCTAAAATAAAGTATTTAAGAAAATTACTTTAGTTTGTTTTTGTTTTTTTTTTTTTTTTTTTT